TATATTAAAAAGTTAGGATCCCAACACTGAACCTTGGAGTACACCACTAACAACCCTAGACCATTCAGAGTATGAATTATTAAAGTGTTCCTAAACCCACAACAGTAAAATCAGTCTGACTGGGACCAGATTTATGACCACATACATAAAGGTTCCATGTGTGTTTCTACACAAGAAGGCAACTACAAAGTATTTTCCAGGTGGTACAGAGTTCCATCTGTGCTTCATAAATTTGATCCTAACGTTCCTAACTTATGCTGGAGAGGTTGCCAGGCAACAGGTACTCTTTTGCATATATGGTGGGATTGCCCGCAACTGCAGCCCTTCTGGATAAATGTTTTGGACATAATCGCACAAGTTACTACATACGCCCTAGACTTTACCCCAGAACAATGTCTACTCCATCATTCCTCTCTTCCTGTGAAGACCTATCGTAAGTCGCTTGCATTACACATGATAAATGCGGCAAAACAGTGTATTCCTGTTCATTGGCGATCAGACCATATTCCCACCGTGCGAGAGTGGATTCTTAGGATCAATAAGATCGCGGAAATGGAGGAGCTGATCTCAGTGGCTAAAGAACACCCCGAGCGATTCAGGAAGACATGGGCATGTTGGACTCACTTCCTATCTACTGAGACTTATCATGGCTTAATGAAGGAATGAGCGAGAAGATTTGGAAACCTGGAAAGCCTCTAGAACTTTCACCTCAGGAATAATTCCTTTACTGGACTTTACCGGACTTTAGAGAGATTATAACCTTAATTTAAGACAGCATCTGTTATAACCAGGCCGATACTATGTGGTGTGATTGGCTTAGTTATACTTATTTAATTCTAATCCTCAACTCCCCCTCCCCACCCCCCTTTTTTTTTTTTTTTTTTTTTTTTTTTTCTTTCCCCCTATTTATTTGTCTTCCTTGTCCCACTCCACCTCACTCTGATATTACTTCCCATACTCCTTTTCCATTTCCACTCGAGTCTTTCTTTTCTTTTCTTTCTCCCTTTAGCAACCCTTTTTCTCATATTCTAAATAGCAATATTTTTTACAAGGATCAGAACACTCCTAGATGTACAAGTGTGATAATACTTTAGAAAACTAACCCACGATTTTTGGATACGGATATAGCAGACATCTGTGCCTTGAGATAATACGTTTGTCTTGCACCTCATAGTCTTGATGCTTGAGCTCTCTCTACATAGAGACTAATGTATACCATATTTATCGAAAATTACAGACGGTAAATAGTATTACTATGGTTATACTTTTTGCATATGCTTTACTGTGGGAATTGGATGCATGTTGATCTAAAATCTATTCTAATGTCCTATTCCCGTCTGCGATACGGGAGAACATATATGAAGATGTGCACGGACTGCGATCCGTATCTGTCTATGATCTGTTTTGTCTTTCTTACTTCAATAAAACTTTTTTTGAAAAAAAAAAAAAAAAAAACAGTAAAATCAGTCTGTATATGCAGTAAAGCATGCTTGTTATACTCACTGTGGAACCTAAGGGGTTAGTCCTCTGCATTGTGTAAAAAGGCTGTTTGATTCTTTCTTCTCTGTTCCTCCCCTTTTTCAAGTGACCACCACTTATCTCTAGACTGAACTGTAGGCATACACATGCTCAGTTTAGTGTATATTGCTAGAGAGGTTTTTTTTTTCCTTGGGAGAGTGCATGTGATCAGCACAGGGCCAATCAGCACTGTCCACACAGAGGTCAGAGGATTTCCTCCTGCGAGCTTTAGCTAGTGCTGGGCTGGTCACTGATAGAAGTCACAAGTCTGCTGTAACTGTTGATGAAAAAAAAAGGGTATTTAGAAGTTTATATTTACTAAAATAGTTGCACTTCCATGTTCTGTGTACTGTGGGAGACCGGATATAGTGGATGCAGTGTCCTGGGTTTAGCAACACTTTAACCACTACTCTTTGAATACGATCTTTTAGCCAGTTTTCTATCCACTTACAAATTGACTTTTCTAAGCCTATAGACTTTATCTTACACATTAGCCATGTGTGGGTAACTGTGTTAAACACTTTTGCAAAATTTTGGCATACTACGTCCACAGCAACTCCTTTCTCGGAGTCTGTGTAAATTGGCTAACGCATATAACACCACCCTCTTCCCAGACTGACAATGCAGTTTTTTCCAAAGGGTGTCTCCAATTCTTTTTCATAGAATCTGGATCACCAGGTGAAAATAAAGGTAAAAAAGGCCTAAAACAGAAAACATTTAAATATTCATAAACTGCCAAATATTGCAATGTTGTTTTTGGGTACCACTTTTAATGCCTGTTTGGGAATATCAATATTTTTTTTCTTTTTTTTTTTAACTCAGTGATTTGTGTTTATTAAATATTTTTTTATAATCTTTTGAGCAGGTTTTCATTACCTGGAAACATTGGGTTGGGAACCATTCTCAGTTAGTTTGACAAGAGAAGAAACAGTTAAAGTGATTGTTTTTCTGACACCAAGAAAAAAATGGTGACAGGGGTGGGATCTCCAGCAGATTGACAGCCTCCGCTCTGTTCTTGTGAGATTTATGGAGGGAGGATGGGGGTGTCTCTTCCTTCCGTCCTTCTTTCCTTCCTTCCTATCCGCTCTCAGAGCTCTCCTCACTAAGCTCTGCAGAGTCTAATTTCAGCTCTCTGCCCCATTTTTTCTGAACTCTCAGACAAGCTTTATAAATTAAGCACTTTGAATGGATGTAGAGAGAGAAGAGAAGACCGCAGATAAACAGGTACAACATATGTAGGAGGATTTATTTAATCTCTGTGTATCACGTGAGGCCAGTCACTTCACTAAGCATATGTAAGGATTTACAACGACTTTAAATATTGCTTACATTACACTGTTGATTCCTTAGTCTAACACGTACCTTGCCTGTCAGAAAAGCAAAGGGCATGCCAACAATCTCGCCAGTTGGGGTTTGAGTAAAATATAGACTTTTTATTCCCTTATATCTATTGTATAAAAAACTCTTAGCAAAGGTAATTGAAATGAATATAAACTTATTGCAGACCTTTGTTAAAAAAAGCAGAGCTCTCTGCTGTATGGGTTACAGTATTTGTGAACACTGGGATACATTTCAAGTAGGAAAAACATGATTATACTTTAATCACTTGTTAAATAATATCAGTTCATCAGCATTTATATCAAATTATTCTCATTGAAAATAAACACTCCACATTGACTTCATTCAACGTGCCTTTGTTTACTGAATTATATGTTTGTAGTCCAGGTCCTGCTGGCCTGGTTCATGACACATTTGCACAAGGAGTATCACTGGCTTTTGTGTTATTCCTGGAGGTAGCTGATATTTCAAATTTATTGTTGCAAAAGGGCAGCGGACTGTCATTGTGTGTTTGAAGGTCGTCACAGGCAGGCCTGCGGGATTTCAGAATATATAACTTTTAATAATCTTTCATTCCTCCAAAATCAAGAAGCTTATCTTGGAATAAAATTCTATATGTCATGAAGCTACAAATAATGTAATTCATCCAGAGGTCTACATATACAGGTTACATGACTTCAATGACCTATGAAAAGTATTAGTGTTTTAAACCATATGAACAAAAAGAAATAGTGCTAACATAGTAAATAGAAAGTTTAGATACACATGTGCTTAGATCTATTTACATGGATGGGTCTACCCTCTATGTTAAGATGCGTTGGGAAAGGAATGCCGATCCAAACACACCAAACTTTCCAGATTGCAATTATGAGGACCTTTTCCCCATGCAAATATGTCTAGAACTAAGCGGAAATCTCCACAAAACAAGTGACACATTTGACAGTTGTCAAAGGGACAGGTATTCCTTCTTAGAAATTACCCCACACCTCCATTTCTAGTGACTGACATGAACGTTTTAGATTTCCCCTCCGCCAATGCTAGTTTAATATCAATTAATCTCTTTCTGAAATGTTGGATAAGCAGGAATAAGCGCCAACCATTCAAGTAAATTTGCAGACAGTTAATGACAAGTTCAAAATAATGAGAATAGTTGTTTCAAGAAAATGTCTATAATAGGGCCAACTGTAAAATTGTGTATCATTCATTTTAGGCTATATTCAAACTTCTTATGTGCTTGATGATATGAGTGTTTATGGATGGCTAACTAAATGAATGATCACGTACAAGTACAATTATATAATCTTTGAATCTTCTGTAACTGAGCGCTTTAAAGTCTTTGTTCGCGGCCCTGCTTATGCAGAAGTATCTTTCTATGTATCTTATTATGTTTCACTGTCTATATAACACTAACAGTACCATGAGCAGATTTTTTTTTCCTTTTACTATGTAGGATTTAGTGTCAGTTCACACCAGAAAAACGCACTCCAGTACAGTTCTGTGCAGAAAAAAATGCAGCATGTTATACTTTTTTTCTGCACTGGGAACTGAGTGCAACTGACTGCACTGGTGGGAACCAGGGCCATTGGAATGCATGGAAACTGCTGTGCATGCATTTTTTTCCAGTTTATATTTATTTCAGTTATTTTTTGTTAATCCATTTTTTTCATGCATGCCATATTTAATGAAAAGAAGAAAACATTTTGTGCGCTCACGCTGTCTAATGCATCTGACAAGGCGTGCATGTGCTGCTGCTGCCCAGGCAGGTGAGAGGCTGTATTAAGACTTCAGAATTAAGAGCCATTAATAGCAGTTCCTGAGCACACAAGCAAATTGACATGACCTATTTTCACTGCAAAAGGTTGCTGCCCTTTCCAGCAGTGAAGAGGTAAATAATGAAACCCTCCATCAAATGCTTCTGTGAATGGTGATCAAAAGTTGGTCAAGCATGCCAGCTTCTCCATTATATAGAAATTTTCATTTCAATCCCTTTGCTCAATGAGATCTATTAGTTTTGCTGCAATGAACTGTCAAGTAATACCATTAGCCTCAAAAAATGCACTAAATGCCACTCAGATTTTGTAATAGCTACTTTAAACTGCTCTTGCCTCAACAAAATCTATGCTTTTCATTTTTTTATTTTACAGTGAGTTGACAAGAAAGGTAGAGATTTCAGGGGACAGCGGACCGTTGGGGATACATGTTGTGCCTTTCTATTCCTCTCTTAGTGGACGGTGAGTTATATGATAAAAAAAAAATAAACCAACAAATTGAGTCAGTATGTTTTTCTGTATGCTCCACTGATTTATTGCTTCACTAACCAGGCTTGAAGAACACCTGTCATGTTGTCTGACATGCTTATTTAACAAAAGAATCCAAAGTGTTAAAGAACGTTTAACAGACTGCTAATTCTTTATAAGCACCAGCATTTTGGTGCAAGGAACGTTTCCACATTCCTATTGCAGTTAGCAGGGTCTGCTTGGCAGTAATGAGACCCACTGGCCTTAATGCTTTGGCTAACTACAGATAAATCTGTGGATGTCAGAGACTTTGAAATGCTTTTAATTGCTACATTACCATGGAACCTTTCAAAGACTTTCATAGTCCTTGTTAACATGCAGTACCTAAAACCCTATGAGTCTGTGGAAACAACTATTCTTTTTGCGTATATAACTTTTATAGCTTTCATTTTTTTATGTTATTTTTTATTAACACTGTCTCTTTAATTTTTTTTACAAAATTACAAAATACTTGTTCCTTCCAGTTCCTTAGGCCATAGATATGATTGGGGAAGTTCTGGTCCTCCGTCATCTCTATGATAAGCCAGCAGTGGAACGGGAGAGCCTGGGAAGGCTTAAGTGGGGAACCTCTTTTGCCGCATGTAAAGCAATCCAGCGGCTATTTCGCTGCGTAGACTGCTTTTACCTTATTCAGCATTGCTGGCTGAAAAAAAGATACCAGGGTCATAGCTTCATCTGTGGCCATGGCCCTGATATAACCACTGAAACCAAAGAATGTACAGTAACATCCTATGGGGCAGGAAGTGGTTAAGGTAAGAGACAACCATTTGTCCAATTTCTTCATTGGTGTTGTTTAAAGTGACAATTAGGAGAAACAAATCTTATGTTATTTTAAAGCTGAAATTTAGGGATGCATTTTTTATTTGCATAGTTACATTTGTCAAGCTTGGACCAATGTAAGTATTGTGACCGTGTGGGGTCCGGCCACTGGAAAAATGTATGTAGGAATGACAAAGAGTTCACATTGATGCAAGCGTGCGGCTCCAGAGTTGTGAGTGGAGAAATCTGTGCTTACAGATTTCTCCAGGTTTTGTAATTTCAGATCAGGGTCTGGAGCTTGAAGGCTTCAAAGTATTTTGGGTCGGATGAAGCTTTCAATCCCGTGTCTAGGTCTTAGTGCAGACCTGCCAGCCAGGTGAGTACACAGGTGTGCATATTCGTTATAAGTCAAGAGCTGGCCATACCTCAGAGACTTTTTGGAGATAGTTGTGTACTCCAGCCAGAAGTGGTGAGCCACTTGGGAGACACTATACTCCATGTGGAAGATACTCCCTACCTGAAGGACTGGGAGAGCTGGGACAGCTGAGCGAGTCTGCAGGATTGAGAGAGCTGAGGCAACTAGGGAGTTCAGGAGACTGGAGGGGATTTGTAAGTCTCGAGTGAGAGATTCTGGGGTGCTAGGAGAACTCTACTTAGAGGCTAGGAGTGGGCCCGTGCTGTGAGCTGCTGTAACTAAGGCTTAAGGAGCCTAAAGAATCCAGGAGACCAGAGATGAGAGCAGCAGTGCTGCTGAAGAGAGCCAGGTGACTTAGTATTTTTCATTACCTGTTTGCTTATAACACTTTGTGATGCCAAAACCCATGTGTGGGAAAATACTGACACAAGACATTTTCTTTAAAGTGTTATTATACCCAGACTATGTAAAACTATCATTACATGCTATGTCACCAAGTGTGCATACACCCAAAGCCTTCATTTTGTGTAGAGTGAAATATACTTGGTGGATCCTACCCTCAGCTGTCTCTCCCATCTTCTCTATGCAGTACTGGGACAAGGTCATCTATAGCCCAGGGCCAATTCTTTGCCCCCCCCCCATCTCTGCTCCTACCATGTCACCTCTTCTAGCACAAACCCCCCCTCCTAGCACAAATCCTGTTCCCCCCTCCTGACACAAATCCCCCCAATCACCACTCCTAGCACCCCCCCAAACAATTCTTACCACCTACACCCCAAAAATTCCCCCTCCCAGCACAAATACCCTCCTCCCCCAATCCCCTCTCAGCGCCCACCCCCACCTCACATGATACCACAGTGCCCAGGGCAGTTGCTCCTCCTGCCTACCCCTTGTCCCAGCCCTGTCTCTATGTACACACTACAGCCTGTGATCTACTAAGCATGCTCCAGTTTCAGTTCCATTCTAAGTGCTTAATTTGCTCCATTTTCATATCTGTGCAGCCGATATGACATTATTTATTTATTTCAGGCATTTACATAATGCCGTCAATTTACGCAGCGCTTTACATATATATTGTACAGTCACATTAGCCCCTAACCCTCAAGGGGCGTACGATCTAAGGTTCCTAACTCACATTCATACATATACAGTTGTGTTCAAAATAATAGCAGTGTGTTGAAAAAAGTGTATAAAGCTCAAAATACTTCTAATAGCTTTTATTTCCATACACACAAATGCATTGGGAACACTACACATTCTATTCCAAATCAAAACATGAAGAAAAATATATCAAATTTGTGTTGTTCCTGTAAAAAAATTGAAGAAAAGTGAATATTAGACTGTTCAAAAAAATAGCAGTGTTTGTATTCTTCTTTACAAACTCAAACATTCACTATAAAACTGAAAAATGTTTGAAGATTTTGCTTTCCTTTGAATCACTTAATTAACATTTAGTTGTATAACCACTGTTTGAGAACTGATGTACATCTGTGTTGCATGGAATCAACCAACTTCTGGCACCTTGCGCAACCATGCTTCACTGTCTTCCCAGTGTACTGTGGCTTGAATTCAGTGTTTGGGGGTCATCTGACATACTGTCTCCGGCCACTAGACCCAAAAAGAACAATCTTACTTTCATCAGTCCACAAAATGTTGCGCCATTTCTCTTTAGGCCAGTAAATGTGTTCTTTGGCAAATTGTAACCTCTTCAGAACGTCTTTTTTTCAACAGTGGGACTTTGCAGAGGCTTCTTGCAGATAGCTTGGCTTCACATAGGCGTCTTCTAATTGTAACAGTACTCACAGGTAACTTTAGACCTTCTTTGATCTTCCTGGAGCTGATTGTTGGCTGAGTCCTTGCCATTTTGGCTATTCTTCTATCCATTGGAATGGTAGTTTTTTTTTGCTTTCTTCCACGTCTTTCAGGTTTTGGTTGCCATTTTAAAGCATTTGCGATCATTTTAGCTGAGCAGCCTATCATTTTCTGCACTTCTTTATATGTTTCCCCTCTCCAATCAACTTTTTAATCAAGGTACGCTGTTCTTTTGAACAATGTCTGGAACGACCCATTTTCCTCAGAATTTCAGAGAGAAATGCACTGTAACCAGCAAGTACAACATTTGATGCCTTCCTTCCTTAAATAAGGGCAAGAATTGCCACCTGTTTTTCAAAGAATGAATGACCTCACTAATAGAACTCCACACTGCTATTATTTTGAACATGCCCCTTTGAAAGTGATTCAATTACACAGAATCAGCAGCATGCATGTCATGACTGTTGGGTCTGTTGGATTTCTATTACTCTACTACACCTGCTAGTAAATTATTTGCCATGTAGAAATATAATTTCTACCAAAAACAGTGATTGATCAGGCTAGTGATGTCTGACTGCTATTATTTTGATATTTTGAACACAACTGTATGTGTGTGTGTATATATGTGTGTATATATATATATATATATATATATATATATATATATATATATATTTTTTTTTTTTTTTTTTTTTTTTTTTTTTTTTCCTTCAGATAACAGTATACTGCTCTTTCTCATATCACTTATTATATATTATTAGCATGTGTATTATTTGTGGATTTTGTTTCCCAGGATTCTCAGGCAGACATTTCTGTTGAGTGTAGTCTTCTAAATGTATAAGCCACCAATTCATTTTGTGTATTCCTTAATGTTTCATCTGACTCACCATTAGGAGATGTAATTTTAATATTGGTAATGTTTTCCCCATGATTCATGAAACACAAAATTATTTTCAAGTAGACTAATCATCTACTTAGGCAGTATACCATGTAATGCATTGGTAACTTCTAATGGCTTATTTTCTTTTTCCATTCGTTACAGAAAGTACTTTGGTAGACAAGGCATAGTCAAAACATTTTTTACTTGCCTCAGAATTTCAAGTTTAACCTATGTTTTTTCCACCAGTAATTAACCTTACACAGACTCAGGGATAAACATTTCTATAACATAGGGCATAATTGGAAGCTTTTCACGTCAAAGAAGACATCATGTGTAAACGACTTAATATTGTCTCTGCGACCCACTGATCCATACGTATACTTATACTGTTCAAATAAATGTTATGGGCTGGCTTACATTGTCTGTGCAAATGACAGGCAGTCAGTGTGTTCTTTGGTGAAATAACCTGAAATGACATGACAATATAATGGTGGAAGTCACCTGCGCATAGTACACTCTTAACTAGGTTTGCTAGGAAATTTGCTGTAGGCTTTGTGCACTCAATGAAGAATTAAAATCTAAAATAGAAGTTGATTCTACATAAAATAAGTTATTGCATTGTGCAGCTAGTGTGCACAAGGGTATGTATGATATCCCTACTCATTCTTGAACTCAAATGGTTATACATTATCTCGTAGTGTAAATCATGAGGAAAAAAAAGCTAAATCACAGTGATTTTAAATGATTGGTACATGAATGTATGATACCTTAATTTCAGTATTGAATGTTGAGGGGGTACATTGCTGCATCTGCTGTAATTTGAAGAGATTACCCTATAATATATGTATAGAAACAGTGATGAGCAGTAATTAAAAGTGTTGAGGTCTTTATGGGGAAGGAGACCCACTAGGCAACTGCATGCTTTGACAGCCAATGGTAGTTTCCTGCTTCTTCCTTCCTTCCTGCAGTACATGCTACCTCTTCTTCCCAGCTGTAGTATGGAGGGTGAAATCTGTGAGCTGTAATCTTGATGTAGAGACTATTACAGTGGAAGGAACAGTGAAGGAACTGCATTGTAAAGTATCCTGTAAAGAGAGGGTACTATGTGGCTGAGACACAGATTAATGTTTCTAATTTCCAGCAATAAATACTTTGCAGGAGTAACAACTACCCTCTCCAAGCTTATAGCACAAATTATATTTATAAGTGGTAATATGTTCTTCTGTGTAACTTGTCTTGTTGACTGTATTTTTAACGTGTATGACATATAGAATATAAGAAAATGAACCTCATATAAAATCTAAGTATATACTAAGATTCAATTGATTTTTAATATTTTAGAGTAATTGCTTCTGAAAAAATGTGGAACTCCTTTTTCCAAAAATATGTATAACTCTTATTGCAATAACATATACATAACCTACTCTCACTTTGCCGTTTAGTGCTTTGGGACTGTACATTCGTGGAATTGAGGAGAATAGCAGGACTAAACGGGAGGGCCTTTTCCAAGAAAATGAATGCATTGTGAAAATTAACAGTGTGGAACTTGCTGATAGGTCTTTTACACAGTAAGTATTATACTGTGAAAAGTGTTAAGTGGCTTTGTGTCATAGGTTTTAAAAATAACTTCCAAAGGTATGGCTGGTTATTTATTTATGTATGTGGATCTAAGCTTTGTTATGATATGTGTGTTTTGTATTTCAATTAGACACCACATTCACATTCTGCTTACAAGTGAAAAAAAAAAAACCTCACAAAATGCAGAAATATGTGCCAAGTTACCTATTAACTTGGTATATGCAATGCATGGTACAGAGGGATGCAAAGACCGGTAAATTGGAGAGACAACACAACATCTCAACAAATGAATAGTCCAACCTAGTGGTGGTGGGGGGGGGCAAATTCTACAGGCCAAGACTCAACAGTCTTCCCATACCTTAAGGAAAAGGGGCATTTTTTTAAATCCTTTGTATACAGTATAAAACTTCCCTCTCCTGCTTTTTTGTAGCACCCCCCCCCCCCCCCTGCTTTTTTACTTAGATTGGATTTCTCCACTTTTTCACCATACCACTTTCTTATGAGGCTGTAAAATATTAATAATATGTCTGTGTTTAGTCCAGTACTAAATAGCTGTCAGAACACTTGCACATTGTATTGCAAGTTAGGAAGTGTTGATGAATTTTCCAGGAATATACTGAATGCTAAGTTTATTAACTCTCTTGTATCTTAGGGCACAAGATATCTTCAGACAAGCAATGAAACATCCAAGTGTGTTAGTGGAGGTTGTGCCATCTCATAACCGTGAACTTTATGAGAAAAACTGCCATATCTTACTTATCACTTTTAGAAGATGAAGATGATGAAATTCCTAATATAAAACCACCTCTTCCACCTGCCACTGCAAAGCAAAGTGGGAAGCTAAGTGACCACATTAATGGTTTTGATTCTGCACTGTCACAGCAGATTTCAGTAAGCCCAGATCCAGCAGGCCATGGTAGTTCATACTCCTCACCTCTAGGCTTTGGAACTAAAAAAACTGCCAAGATTATAAGGATTGATCTGAAAAAGGGTAATTGTACTTTTGTTTTTAAATAAGTGCTATGTGTTTGGTATTGAACTCCTTAGCTAGGAAAAAGAGGGCCTGATTTCTGCATAGTCAACATAGATGGTGACCTGCGGCAGCTTACTTCTCACGTAGATGCTCATTGTTCCAAATTTGCTGGGCATCTTCGACTTCAAAGCATTCATTACAGTGATCAGGGACTGCGAGTGGGCAGTCCTCACATAATTAGAGCTAGGGCTTGGGTTGTCCATTCTTTTGTATGGGTTGGACCACCCAGTTACTAGCACAGACCTTATGAACTGTGGGCAGGTTTAACTTTGGTGCGTATTCCACCCAAGCATCATGTTGCTGGCTGGTTATGTACTTGGAGTTCTCTCACTCTAGGTCAGCATGTTTAGAACCAATTTACTCGCAGAACAGGAGAACATTTTTTACCATTTCTCTAGGTATATTAATGCAAAGCAAACTGTCTGTTTTAACCTCTCAGCCCACACGTGTGGCTTATCAGCTGAATATTAAGACTATCATGTTGAGTGAGGTAGATGGAGGTGAGTGACACATGACAGTCAATCTATGTGTGTGTGTGTGTGTGTATATATATATATATATATATATATATATATATATATATATATACACAGTAGATATAGATAATATATTCTCCCTGCCTACTTGGTGTTAACTCCCTTTTTGGGACTAAGGCTAGGTTCACACCTATGCAGTTTGCGAATGTTCTGTTTGTGCATTGCATTTTTCACCTCCATTTTTTATGTGTTTTTGCCACGTTTTTGATGTGTTTTGTGTTTTTTATTCTTATTATTAGGCAGATTTAAAACACATCAAAAATGCATCAAAAACGCATACAAAATGCACCACATGCTTTTATGCAGGATTTCCATTGAAGTCTATACAACCAACAAAGCTACTTTTTGCATTCAAAAAAGTCCACGACCATTTCCAAAAAACGCATCGGGTGAAAACTCAGAGATGGGAACGTGTCCCATAGGAAATCATGTTAAATGGACTGTAATGCATTTCTGCAAAACACAAAAAGCTGTGGAAAACACTTAGCTGTGAACCTAGGGTCAGCAACAATCTCTTTATATATTGTTGTGAATTTGCATTATGTGATGTCTTATTTCTGATATTGAGAATACATACAGTATCTCACAGAAGTGAGTACTCCCCTCACATTTTTGTAAATATTTCATTATATCTTTTCATGTGACAACACTGAAGAAATGACACTTTGCTACAATGTAAAATAGGGAACGTACAGCTTGTATAACAGTGTAAATTTGCTGTTCCCTCAAAATAACTCAACACACAGCCATTAATGTCCAAACCGCTGGCAACAAAAGTGAGTACACCCCTAAGTGAAAATGTCCAAATTGGACCCAATTAGCCATGTTCCCTCCCTGTTGTCATGTGACTCATTAGTGTCATCGTTAGTCAGATGTGAATGGGGAGCAGGTGTGTTAAATTTGGTGTTATCGCTCTCACTCTCTCATACTGGTCACTGGAAGTTCAACATGGCACCTCATGGCAAAGAACTCTCTAAAGATCTGAAGAAAAGAATTCTTGCTCTACATAAAGATGGCCTAGGCTATAAGAAGAATGCCAAGACCCTGAAACTGAGCTGCAGCACGATGGCCAAGACTATGGAGCGGTTTAACAGGACAGGTTCCACTCAGAATAGGCCTCGCCATGGTTGACCAAAGGAGTTGAGTGCACTTGCTCAGCGTCATATCCAGAGGTTGTCTTTGGGAAATAGACATATGAATGCTGCCAGCATTGCTGCAGAGGTTGAAGGGGTGGGGGGCCAGCCTGTCAGTGCTCAGACCATACGCCGCACACTGCATCAAATTGGTCTACATGGCTGTCGTCCCAGAAGGAAGCCTCTTCTAAAGATGATGCACAAGAGAGCCTGAAAACAGTTTGCTGAAGACAAGCAGACTAAGGATATGGATTACTGGAACAATGTCCTGTGATCTGATGAGACCAAGATAAACTTATTTGGTTCCGATGGTGTTAAGCGTGTGTGGTGGCAACCAGGTGAGGAGTACAAAGACTACAGTCAAGCATGGTGGTGGGAGTGTCATGGTCTGTGGCTGCATGAGTCCTGCCGACACAGGGGAGCTACAGTTCATTGAGGGGACCAAGGATGTCAACATGTACTGTGACATACTGAAGCAGAACATGATCCCCTCCCTTTGAGACTGGTCTGCAGGACAGTATTCCAACATAACGACCCCAAACACACCTCCAAGACGACCACTGCCTTGCTAAAAAAGCTGAGGGTTAAGGTGATGGACTAGCCAAACATGTCTCTAGACCTAAAGCCTATTGAGCATCTGTGGGGCATCCTCAAACAGAAGGTGGAGGAGCGCAAGGTCTCAAACATCCACCAGCTCCATGATGCCGTCATGGAGGAGTGGAAGAGGACTCCAGTGGCAACCTGTGAATCTCTGGTGAACTCCATGCCCAAAAGGGTTAAGGCAGTGCTGGAAAATAATGGTGGCCACACAAAATATTGACACTTTGGGCCCAATTTGGACATTTTCACTTAGGGTGTACTCACTTTTGTTGCCAACGGTTTAGCCATTAATGGCAAATTTACACTGTTATACAAGCTGTACACTCGCTACTTTGCATTACAGCAAAGTGTCATTTCTTCAGTGTTGTCACATGAAAAGATAGATTAAAAAGGTTACAAAAATGTGAGGGGTGTACTCACTTCTGTGAGATGCTGTATGCATGAGCCTCCAGGGATATGGAACATATGGCTTTGAAGTTTTAATTTACATTATCATGGCATTTCCAACTTGTACACATAAGCAATATTTCTTGGGAACACAGCTCTCTTTTCTTCATAATAAATTCATGTCAACTAGGATTTGTCAGTGTCTGTTTCACTGAAATATTTACATGCACTTTACTAAGTGTTTGTGCATTTGTGCCATTGGCTACTGTCTGTACTTTGCTGGCTACAAGATCTCTGGAAGCTTTCTGTGTTGAAGCCTTGCTCACACCAATATATTTCAATAATTGTTGTTTTGTAATATGTAAATAGGCCAAAATGGGGAATATATTTTACCATTCTGTTTTGTAGAGAGATATTCTGTATGACCATAACTGTTTAGAGTATCTGTCACAAATTTCTGTTGACCAATTCCAATTCAGGTGCAGATGGCCTTGGATTCACAGTGGTCACAAGGGACTCTACAGTACATGGACCTGGCCCTATTTTCGTAAAAAATATTCTTCCTAAAGGAGCAGCCATAAAGGATGGACGATTGCTGTCTGGAGATCGAATAATAGAGGTATGTAAATTATCAGCTAATATATTTATACATTTTTGGGGGGAATTTACAAAAATTCAAGCTCAAGAAAATTTCAGAGTTGCATTCCTATGCTCAGACATAAGTTATGTACCTTGTGTGGTGTATTCTGTCTCATATTTATTCTGAAAAAAAATTTGCGGATCAGAATGGAATCTTTCAGATTAGATAAGATAACTGCGGAAATGTTCGAGTACAGAGTTTGGATTGCAAACATTAAAGTAAACTTGCTAAAGTCTACATCAATTTAAAAGCAATTCCATTCTCGATTTGCTTTCAGGATTTATGTATTAAAAAATAAATGATATATTTTTAGTGCAATTCTCGTGCCTTATAAGACCGTTTCCATGGCAGCACAAATTGAGGAGTCAACTATGGAAGGGTTCTGATGGGACTCTCCCTTCCAGGGCGAATTTTGCATTGAAGTTGGTCATGATTCTTCTATGCTTTTCTATGTTTTATTTCTGTTTTCCAATTTAAAGAAATGTAACCTCTTTACTCTTTGGTCCTTGTTCAGCATGCTGTGAAATGGCTTCTCTAGGAATAGGGGAAGGGGTCATCTTAATTACAATGGCAAATAGGCTTCTTTGCTGTTGTAAAGAAAGTACTGGATCTCTGTTTAGTAGATTTACAGCTAGTATTTTGTTATGTTTGAAAATGCA